TAACTAGATTGAGTATTTATAAAACTTGAGAGTTCGATTGCCGTGATAACTGTGCAGATGGTTACAGATTCGCTACATCCTATAGAGAGAAATCTTGAACAGTGAGAGAATCGCTAATTCAATGGTTGAAGTGAAGGTTTACAGCTGTTTTTATTCAAATAAATAATGCTTCTGTTCACTTTCTTTTATGCTCTACCTGTCAATTATTGTCAATATTGATTTGCAGAAATACCAATCAAATGATTTAACCTGTTGTCTGACAAATATTCTTATCTGGTATGAAACCATCCCAATCTATCTAATTGATTTTTACTTCCTCTCATTATTGAACTACCTTTGCTGAAAGGAAACTGTGAGGCTCATCTATTGGTTATGGAGGCCACCTGCAGTAAATCAAGTGACACAAACAATCTCTAAGGAAAGAATGACATTACCTACAGTTTCATGGATGATTTGGGGTTCTGAACTGGACAAATAATTAGCTATGGTATTGTTGAGAAAACCAAATTCAGGAACATAAATACTACTGTGAAATACTCGCTCAATATTAAATGAGTGATTGAGCAATTAAATTGAAAACTAAGCTATCAAGTTCATTTGCAGCAATGAATTCAGTCAAACTGGTGGTGTATACTGCAGTAGCACTGCTTGAATTGAGACAAGGCCCATTTCTAGCTAATATTACAGCAACAGTAAAAATACCGTGGTGTATTGAGCCATTAATGAATAATTTCTTTCCATTATCAACTGAATCTCTACCACAGTGAACAAGAATTGTATCATGAAAGACAGTTAGACATGACAGTAGGAGACATGAATTAATGTTAATGTTTATTATACAGTCAGAAATTTTGACTTTTTGAAACATGTGAAACATGAATACACACACAAGCACATTACAATCTTCTTAAAATTGTTCTATATGTAGACAAACTTGCATGCTATAATTTGTTAGTAACCTTTGAGAACAATAGATGGTCTTATTTGGGAGTCATGAGATATGATGACTGATATCATGAGATTACAATTGTCTAAACCTTTCTAGGGGCGTTATCTTAGTTTCCCTTTTTACTTCTATGCATGTTTGTGTATTGAAAAATCACGCAAGCATGCCAAGTCACTTTTTGTTTATTAAAGTAAGTTACTTTATCTTTATTGTACAGTTGAAGTCACTGCTGGCTGACTCTGAAAGAACAAAGCTAATAAGGAAACTTAGTGATGCTAATCAATACAACAGGTTCCTGAAACGCCAGGTTTGCACTATAACAGTTTATTGATTTGGGTTTACAATTCAGGTGACCTGAAACACCATAAGCATAGGAAGGCAATAGAGTATTGAACAATTTTAATGTGAATTTTATGGACTATGAACGTCCACTGTAACATAACCTATTCTCGTTGGTTCTTGTATTCTGTGCTAGTCTTCTTGTTGTTTATCATTCATATTTAGAAAGTATAAAATACTATTTATATAAATACATACATTCATTAATGTAGCCCTGTCAGGTCTCCCTCTTGTTTTCTAAATCTTCCCCTGCTCTGTCCATGTAATTTTATCTATAAAGAGTCATGGGTTTACTATAAAGAAGATAATACAAAACTGTTCAAACTATCATGGTATCACTCTTCTGAGTCACACTATGAAATTTTTGGGAATGGGGAACTGAATGAAGGCTGAGAAAGAGAAGTGTTTCCGAGAACCCATTATGCCTGGAAGGTCAATTATGGAACTTATTCACATATTAAGATGATTGACGACAGATAAAAAGAAGAGAAAGGTTGGCTAAAATAGAGGAGTGCTTTTGGAGTCGTATGTGACCATAGAATATCTATGAGGTTGAAGATAAGATTATATAGGAGGGCTGTATGACCTGCAATGCTTTATGGATTAGAATGGCGAGCAATTAAAAACAACTTGTGCAAAGATTGAGCATAGTATAAATGAGAATGTTACGATGATATTGTGAATATGCACTCTTAGGACAAGAAATAAGTGCATTCACAGGAAGTTAGAGGTTGCTTGAGAGAGAATCAATCAAAATGGTTTGTTCATGTACAATGCAGGCCATTAAATGCATCATAGGGGAAGTAAGATTATAGTTAATTGAATAAAGAGGATTAGACATAGACTTAAAAGAATTTGATTGAAAAAATAAGAAAAATATAAAAATAGTTAACTTATCGGAGGAGATGACCTATAAGAGAACTTAATGAAAGAACATGATTCATGTAGTCAACCCCAAAGTTTTGGGATAAAGCCTTTGTTGTCATTGTCGTTGTAGTAGTTTTAATATAATGGAGGATGTCTGAACAGTGGGAAATTAAATAATAGTTTCCGAGTGATAAGCGTATGCTTCTCCTAGATACTTGTCTTTATCTAGTGTTTATCTAGTGGCAAAGTTAGATTCATGCCACTAGTGTCATAGTTAGAGTCATGCCAAAGCTTGGGATATCAAATTTCACATTTTTATGAACAGGGGAGTTTCAAATAGATTTTCATCCATGAAAGAAAACTGTTGACGTATATTTTTAAGCCTGGAGATTATGTCCTGTAACTTGATATGGAGAAGTGGTGACCACCCTGTCAGGAAGCCTCTTCAAACATAAGGTGGAGGTCTGTAGTTGCTGAGGAGTCAATAAGGTGTCATTGACCTTTGAGAGTTGGAGAGTCAATTTAGGCTGAATGGAAACATCTGAAAAAATTTCCTTACAGAGATAGACGAGAAGCGCAGCTGAGCTGAGAAGAATTGCTAAGATGAAATAATTTGTTGAATTCTTACTTACATGGGAGAATCTACTGAAGGTCTAACCTTACAGAAACTAGGCTTGAGTTTCTGAATAGCTGTGCAACAAGTACATCTTTGTTGCTGTGCAACAAGTACATCTTTGTTGCTGTGCAACAAGTATGTCTTTGTTGCTATGCGTCGTGACACTTCAACAGCAAAATTTTATGTTCTCCACTAAATGACTTAAATAAGGATGCATGTTATATTCTATGGATAAGTCACAAATGCTTATTGCCATAGGTTATATTTTGTTTTGAAAATGAAAATATTTCTAGCTTTTTTATTCATGTACACCTTTCAACTGTAATGTCCTGATATGTTGCAGTTGCAAACAAGGGATGATGCTCTAGCAAATTTCAAAGGTGAACTTGCTGTCCTGGAACTTGAAATTCAGGTTGCTCCACTTTTTTTTTCGTTAATTTTGTCGTCTGATGACTATACTTTTTATAAATATAGTATTGGGCTTGTTGCCCCCCTCTACTTTCGTCAAATGATTTCCCTTCCTTCTTATTTTAAAATATATTTTCTGGATGATAAAACTAGTTGAATCTTTCTACATAAGGTGGAACACCATTCAGCATTGTTTTCTGATGTCATAATGTTTTAGAAGTCTGTATTCATGCCACCAATCATGGGAAGTGTAATAAATGTTAGGTTGGACCAGTATGGCCCTTGGAAAGGTTCTACATGAAAACCATTTTTAGGGGAAGCTTTCTATATAATGCAAATTTTATGTTTGATGCCTATAGCTATGAATAATGAGGCAGCTCTCTAGTGGACATTTCCTTGATTTAAGTCAAGGATTGATAGAAAGTGGGATAAATAATTCATAATCTGATGTATACCTATCACCTATTGTTCAATTGAGGTGCCAACCTGTTGTCTATATGGATCGGGTATACACATATCCTGATACTTGATGGAGTGGATACACCTTTGCAATCCAATCTTACCAAGAACTATATATGTTTCAATACCGAATGATACTTGTTGGATACACCTTTGGTAAATTCCATGGTACTAAAAGGCTATGAATGCATCAATGTACCCTATACCTTTGGACACTACAGTCATAGGTTTTGTGTAAAGTTTTTGGGGTGAAAATTAGGGTCTTTCTCTCATAGAGAGGAACCCCTTTTATATTAGTGCACTCTTACAAATAGGTCCTTACAACATTGACTAACTAACTTAATCTATCTAAATAACTTAACACTCCCCCTCAAGATGGGCGATAGATAGCAATCATATCCATCTTGTTACAAAATATATCATACTCTCTAGAATCTAATCCTTTTGTTAAACAATCAGCTAACTGCTCTTCTGATTTCACTTAGCTCAAAGTCAGAGCTCCTCTATTCAGTTGCTCCTTGATAAAGAATCGATCAATCTCCACATGTTTAGTGCGATCATGTTGAACTGGATTGTTTGCAATATTAATCGCTGATTTGTTGTCACACCAAAGATGTAAGGAGTCTCTTCTAAACAAGCGCATCTCAGATAATATGTTTTTGACCCACATCAACTCGCACAGACTAACTGCCATAGCGCTGTACTCGGCCTCAGCTGTAGACATAGCCACCACATCTTGCTTCTTGCTACGCCAAGATACGAGATTGCCTCTAACAAATACACAGTAGCCTGTAGTGGACCTACGATCATCCATACAACCCGCCCAATCAACATCACAATAGCCTTCAATTCTCATATGTCCAGTACTTCTGAACCACAACCCCTTTCCCGTGCTTCCCTTAATATATTTAAGAATCCTGCGAACTGCCTCCATATGCTGCTCTCTGGGATCATGCATATATCTAATTACCACACTCACGACATGAGTAATATCAGGTCTCGTATGGCATAGATATATAAGTCGTCCAACTAATCTTTGATATTGCTCTTTACTCACTAGGTCACCACCCTTGGCACACATCTTATGATTCTGCTCGATAGGAGTAGATGCAATTCTGCACCCCAACATCCCTGTCTCTGAGAGAAAATCCAGAGCATACTTTCACTGAGAAAGCACTATACCCTTTCGCGACCTTGCAATTTCAATTCCGAGGAAGTACTTCAACTGCCCTAGATCTTTAACTTCAAATTCCTCTCCTAATTTCTTCTTCAACCGTAGGATTTCTTCAGCATCATCTCCAGTGATTACAATATCATCAACATAGACCGCCAGAATAGTGATACGAGTTTTGGAGTGCCTATAAAACACAGTATGATTCCCATTGCACTGCTTGTACCTCATACCACAGACTGCCAACCTGAATCTGTCAAACCATGCCCTCGGAGACTGTTTTAACCCATACAAAGACTTCTTCAACTTGCACACCTTCCCAGCTACTTGAGAAGTAGCGAAGCCTGGTGGAATCTCCATATACACCTCCTGGAGATCTCCATGCAAAAAGACATTCTTGACATCTAGCTGATGTAGTGGCCAATTGAAGTTGGCAGCACATGACACCAACACTCTAACAGTGCTCATCTTTATTACTGAAGCAAATGTCTCGTCATAGTCAATGTCATACGTTGGCTATAGCCTTTAGTAACTAATCTGACCTTGTATCTGTCGATCTTGCTCTCTGGAGTTTGTTTAACCGTATACACCCACTTACATCCAACAGCACGCTTCCCAGCTGGCAAAGGTACTAGCTCCTATGTATCATTCTTCTTCAAGGCCTGAAGTTCCTCTTGTATGGCACTCAACCATCTAGGATCTTGCTTAGCAACCTGTCAGTTGTTATGTACAGGCACTGAATGTAATAATGCAATGAATGACTTATATGCAGTTAGAATGAATGCATATGAAATGTAATTCGCAATGTCAGTATCCCAACTACCAAACTTAGCTGGAGGTTTTCCAGCATTGACTCTGAAGGTTCTGCGGGGCAAGACAAGAGTATTAGAAGTATCAGGAAAGAACTCGTTACCTATCGACTCAGGTGGAGAAGATGAGGAAGTCACTGGAGAGGAAGGACTTGAGACATCAACATTTGTGGGTACTGACATAGGCATAGGAGGCGGCTCATGCTGTTGTTTCTGTCTCCTCATGTATACTCTCAGCTCCCCTGAACTTGACTATCAACCCCTGAGTCGCCATCACTACTCGGCGGTGTACCATCACTGCTCGGTGACTCAAGAGGACATGGAATCATCCCAACCACGATGTCATTCTCATTTTCATTCTCATTCTCCCCCTCTCTACTAACATCAGTAGAGCCATCTCCAAACAAGGAACTCAACTCCGTATTCTCCCCATAAAAGGTTCAAACTCCCGAAAAGTCACATCCATACTGACAAACAACCTTCTTTCAGTGGGACACCGACACTTGTATCTTTTTTGGCTTGATGAGTAGCCAACAAAGATATATTTAACTGTTTGCGGATCCAGTTTACTCACCATCAATCTGTGATCTCTCACATAATATGTGCATCCAAACACTCTTGGTGGAACAACAAAAACATTCGAGCCCAAGAGCATCTCACATGGTGTCTTCGTCCCTAATACTCTTGATGGCATCCTATTGATCAAATAAGCTGTTGTCATAACAGCCTCATTCCATAAAAACTTAGGCACATTCATTGGCAACATCAATGAGCGTGCTTCTTCTAGTAGATGTCTGTTCTTGCGTTCAGCCACCCCATTCTGAGTAGGGGTGTCTGGACATGTGGTTTGATGAAGGATTCCCTGACTAGAGATGAAAACCGCAAACTCCTTGTTGACATACTCAGTCTCATTATCTGTTCGAAGAATCTTCACCTGCACTCCAAACTGTGTCTTCACATAGGCCGAGAAATCTTGAAAACATTTGTAAACCTCAGATTTATGCTTCATCATGTATATCCAGACCATACATGAATAACAATCAATGAAAGTAACAAATCATCTAAAACCACTAGTAGAGGTAGTAGGACATGGTCCCCAAACATCAGAATGGACAAGTGCAAATGGTTTAAAACTTCGAAGACCAATCATTCTATAAGTAGATCGATTATGTTTTCCAAGTTCACAAGTATTACAAAATAACTTTTTTCTATCCACTTTCTTCATTATCTCAGGTTCTAACCTATTCAAACTATCAAAAGATAAATGCCCTAATCGGCAATGTTGAAGCATCGCTTCTGCCTCTGGCCCTCCGCTAACAGCAACAATAATCATTGCAGTCTTCATGTCCAAGTACCAAAGGCCATCACGTCTGATGCCAGTCCCAATCCTCCTTCCCGTTTCCTTCTCCTGAAAGACACACATATCCCGATCAAATAACACAGTGTAATTTAATTGATCAATGAGAGAGCTAACAGAGAGTAAATTAACTAGAAACGAAGGAACATACAATACAGATGACAAGGTAACAGATAAAGTGCAATGGACCGAGCCAGTACCCCTGATGGGTTGGGATGTCCCATCAGCAGTCTGAACTGTCTCAGGATGCATATGCTTACTCGGATAATATAATGCAAACTCACCGATGCTCCTGTGACATGCCTAGATGCATCTGAGTCTATGATCCAATCAACATGAGTTTTAGTGGATGCAAGTGCCTGAACCCGTGTACCTTTGTTCACATGAGCATAACCAACAAAGTTACCAAAGCATGTAGTGTTATCTAGATCCTGAGTGATTTGTCCCTTGCCCTTCGAACTCTCAGCCTGAAGCTTGAACAGACATAGTTCCTCCAGCTCTGTTATTTCAGCTCCAGTCATCCCAGCAGTAGTCTGGGACTCCTCTGCCACAGCTAGGTGAGCAACTCCTCGGCCTCCACGTCCCCTGTCTCCTCGACCTGCACGACCACCTCTCTGTCCTCTGCCCCCTCGGCTGCCACCAGTGTTGCGGGGTTGAGGGCAATTATAGCTGAGATGCTCTTTCTTTCCACAATTGTAACACTCTCATGTCTGATGTAAGCATCGGGACCACCAATACCGAGCAGACAGCCGGTAAGGCCTCACCTGTCATCACCTTTTGTCTGATCTCCTCTTGTTCCATCGATGCAATAGCCTCATCCAAGGAGGGGAGAGATGACATGTGGCATATTGCTGCCCTCCTTCCCTCAAACTTTGGGTTCAGGCCCTTGAGGAAGCGAGCCACACGCCTGCGCTCAAGATACTGACTCTCCAAAAGAACATCTCTTGGGTTTTGTAGTGATAACGGATCATAGTGATCCAAATCCGCCCATAAGTGACGTAGCTCTACTGCATACTGGTGGACTGTCTTCTCTCCTTGTGTGGTAGCATCACATCTTCTTCATTTCCATCATCATCATCACACTTCCAGCTCCAGAGTACATCCCCTCCAATGTCTTCCAGACATCAGCTGCACTTGAGATAGACTCCACCATCCCATCTATGGTTGGAGACACAGAAGTCAACAACCAAGAAACCACCAGAGAATTAGTGTTACTCCATGTGTTACACTCAACACTCTCCTTGTTCTCCGGCTCAGTGCACTCCCCCTTCACATATTATTCGAGTCCTTTGATTCGAAGGTTCAACAATGCCATCCGAGACCAACTCAGATAGTTTCTTGTCCCCTTAAGCTTGATGTCATTAGGCAGCAACTTTACCCTCTGTATTACTAGCGCTGACTCCGGTGCGGCCACGACTGACCTACTAGGATTCTCCTCTAGTTTGGTCTGAAATACCCTGGCCATCCCCTCCAGGATCTCCTTCAATTCTTGACTTGTCATAGGTGTTCCCATCTTCACAGTTGACTGCCCTTCAAAAAGAAACCCATCCCTTTTCAATTCATGGCTTGTCACAAGGTCTCCTTCAACTCCTCTAGTTTCTTGTTCCCATCTTCACAGTTGATTCTATACCAACAGTTGATTCCCCTCTCTTTCAGCAACAAAAGAAACCCCAAAGAGAGCGATCGAAAGACGATGGCTTCACATTAGCGATCCAAAGGCGATCCGAAGTCCTCGATCCAAAGCCCTCTCTTCGTCTTGTCTCACCGATCCAAAGCCCTCGACAGCAGAAGAGATCTAAAGCCCTCTCTTCGTCCACGCTCACCGCATCAAGGTCGTCGACGTCACGGGTTCGTATCGCCAACGATCAGGGAATAGGACGACGCCTTCGTACGTGGGGTTTACCGATTCCGAGAGGCTCATCGGCGATGCGGCAGCGCTGACATTGGAAGGAGGATAGCTTCAGGAGCTGGAGATGGAGATCTCAGGGTCGAGTACCAGGGGAGATCTTAGAAGTGGAGGAGCTGGACCCTCTCGAGCTGAAGATGTCAGATCGATGGAGCTGTCAGATCGATGGAGGAGCTAGACCCTACTCAGATCAGATCGATGCCAAGCCCAGATCAGATCGATGGTGCCCTCCTTCTCCGCTTCTCTTCTTCAGCCTCCACTGCGTGAAAGAAAAGGGTAGAGGAGCCGCCACCCAGCTCTGATACCATGTAAAGTTTTTGGGGTGAAAATTAGGGTCTTTCTCTCATAGAGAGGTACCCCTTTTATATTAGTGCACTCTTACAAATAGGTCCTTACAACATTGACTATCATAGAGAGGTACCCCTTTTATATTAGTGCACTCTTACAAATAGGTCCTTACAACATTGACTAATTAACTTAATCTATCTAAATAACTCAACATTAGTGCACTCTTACAAATAGGTCCTTACAACATTGACTAATTAACTTAATCTATCTAAATAACTCAACATCTTGATATTGTTGCCACTTCGAAGAACAATATTTATGCTTTTTTTCATACTTTACTTGCATTATGATGAATGCATTTGATGTTTCTAGTGACAAGTTCAACGTTACAATCTCTTAATATCTGAAGTAAGATCTGTATATTGAGTTTGTTAATATTTAAGATTGTGCTTTGGATGAAAAGTTAACACACAGTACAAGAATTACATAATATTTGGTTGTAACTTATGGTAGTCATCTATGTGTCAGTATATACATGTTCTTATCTGTTTTCTGATCTCAAAATCACTTCTTTTTATTTATGTTTCGCATTCTTTGATTTACAGTTTACATCTTATATTAATAAATGAACATAATATATTAATTGGATTTTTTTTGACATATATTCATCATGTTATATCGTACATCATCCATTTTTCTATATTAGCACAAATTAAGAGCTTTCTCAGAATCTACCTGTGGCAAGGTTAGGAGGCGATTATACATCTGATTCTATGTGTCATCTTATCACATTTTAGCTTTCCATTAATCATCTAGTACTATCACAATTTAGCTTTCCATTAATCATCTAGTACTATCAATATCTTTAGGAGGCGATTATGCATTGCACTATAGATATTTAAATTTATATACTTACGAAAGATAATATGCACCTTTCTCTAAACAGGCCCTGGTTGGCTTGGCAGAAGAGGTAGCTAATTCTGGCGTGCAGGCTCGTTCAAGAAAGATTAATGGAAAATACATTCAATCCCATCTGCTCTTCAGATTAGAAGGTAGGCTTTGTACATCACATGCAATATTAACTCAGAGTATACTTTTCTCTCTGGAAAATCTGTAATTGTGTTCTTCAACCTTGTGTTGGACACTTTTAACATTAGTTCTTCTTCAAAGTAATGAGTGCTGAAACTCTCAGAATTAAATCTTTTTTATGTAACTAGTTCCGAAAACTCCGATATGATTTTGTTCTTTTGTCTTCCCATTGTAAGCAAAACATTCTGTTATCTTAAATTCGTTACGTTATTCACTATTTTCTGTTTAGGAAAATAATAAACAATCAGGTAGGAAGTATGTTATGTCAAAAAAGAAGTCTGATGTAAACATCTAGAGCGTATGAGAGAGATCAATATTTACTTTGTATACTTAACAACCGATTATCTGAATCATGAATAGTAGTTTGTGGGGGGAGGGTTTTTTTTATTGTAGGGATTGTGGTGGGGTTGTTATCGATTAATGGTAGGATAGGGATAATAGGATAACTGAGATTGCTTTTCTCTTGCACATCCTCCAACAAATTTTTACCCATGGATTCATTTTTTAAATTGGCCTCATTATGTTTCGGTTGGTTCTGTTCATGATAGATTGAATCCTGACCTAGGTAGCATGGACACGGGTGCAGACATGGACACGGATACAGGCACGAGACACGATAAATTTGTAAACTGTAGGATATGGGGACACGACTATGTTAGTGTGTGTGTGTGTGTGTAAAATTTACATTTGATCAAATATTGAATTAAAATATGTATAACATTTGTATGTTTCTTTATATTATCCATAACAATTAAGAATCAAGTTAAATAAAATTAAGAATAATGTTTAACAACAAAGTTTAGTTTTGATCACATGGAATACAATGTGTATTTTGTTGGGTATCAACTCAAACTCTAAGTTAGTATAGTATTTTTTAATTCTTTATATAACTTCATGAGAATTAGAAATTGTTAGAGATCTATCATGATTAGGAAGTTAGGCTAGAGATAGGGTTTTGGTTTTCCTATATATGTCCTTCTATTGTTAGAGAAAAAACTAAGAAGAAGAAGAAGAAGAAGAAGTGTAGAGAGAAAGAGAGAAGGTTTGACAGTTTTTGTCCGTGCAAAAAATTATAATTTGGAGGTGATAGTGGATTGATTTTAATCCCGTGGTTTTTCCTGTTGAGGGTTTTCCACGTTAAATCTTGTATGATTTTATTTGCTACGCTTGGTGGTTTTTCGAGGTTTTTACGAGATCTAAATATTCCCTACAAGTGGTATCAGAGCGGGGTTCGACGGTTCGTAGAGGTTTGATCGGTGCGCGATTCGTGAAGGCATCAGCGGTCGAAGCGCGGTGATCGACATCAAGAAAAAGGTTACTGTAGCAAAGGCACTGTAGTGAGAATACTGTAGCGGGCGCTGTTCACGTAGATCCGATGGTTGAGGTTGATTTGTCTTTTGATCGAGGATTTAAAGGCGGATTTTGGTGATTCAGGAGTCGTTCCTAGGTTTTTCGACATACTGAGTTCGTTTTTGACGTCGGCTTTATCAAATTCAATCTTTACAGTGACTGATTTTAATTTTAATTACGGTTAGAGGATGATAACTTCTTCGGGTCCGAAGTTTGATATTCCGCTATTCAATGGCAAGATAAATTTTGCAGTATGACAGTGCACGGTTCAAGATATTCTTGTGCAGCAAGGTGTTGATCAAGCTTTAGAGGATAAGAAACCTGAAGGATTGAAGGATGCTGAATGGAGTTCTATGCAAAAGAAGACGGTTAGCACAATTCGTTTGGCACTCGCCTCCGAGATCAAGTATAATGTTATGCAAGAGATCACACCAAGAGGGCTGTGGGAAAGGCTTGAGGGGATTTATGCGTCGAAGTCGATGACCAACCGATTGTGTTTGAGGATGGAGTTTTATTCATTGAAGATGGAAGAATGTACTACAATTCAAGACCACATTAATGCCTTTAATTAGCTAGTTTGCCAACTTATGAATCTTGATGAGGAGATTAAAGAAGAAGATCAGGCGCTACTCCTATTGTCTTCCTTGCCGAAGTCGTACAAGCCGTTAGTTCAGACGATAATTACAGAAAAATAGACTTTAAAGTTCGACGATGTGACAACACTCCTACGTGAGAATGAAAGAATGATAAGAAAAGAGAGCGCATCTAATGGTGGTGAGAGTGCGCTAGCTTTTGAAGGTTCTAATCGAGGGAGGAGTAAGAGGAGATGTGACAGTTATCGAGGAAGGTTAAAATCTCGAGCCCGAGACGACAGCGAAAAGAGTGCTATTATTGCGGAGAGAAGGGTCACATTCAGTTCAAATGTTCCCAGATGCGTGATGATTTGAAGAGTATTAGACAGATGAAGCTTCAAGAAAATAGGAAGAATGCGGACTCCTCGGTGGTTGTGTGTGATGAAGATGTGGTTTTATTGATGTAGAGTATATGTACTGATGCGAGTAACACTTGGGTGTTAGATTCTGCAGCCTCTATGCACGTTTGTAACAACAAAAATTATTTTAACACATTGAAGACAGATAAAGAATTTGACGACGTGATTGAACGAGAAGATGAATGTTGAAGGTGTTGGAAGTGTTCGCCTCAAGCTTCACACTAGAAAGGTCGGAATTTTTCATCATGTGAGATATGTACCGTCATGTGGTGCTAATTTAATTTCGTTGGGTGAGATAACATCACATGGGTACAAGTATGTGGGTGAAAGAGAATGGTGCAAAGTGTATAGAGATGGTGATTTGATTTTGCGAGGGAGGAAGAATAGCAATCATATTTGCTATTTAGATGGGCGATCCGTTAATAGTGTAGATTACTCTTTTCAGACTCTTGTCCATAAGGGAGAGGTGAAGAACAAGATGAAGAGAGTGAGTTTTTCTGAAGCCGTTGAGACACTTGGAGATTTTTCGTCGAGGGAGGATATGTTGGGTATCAACTCAAACTCCAAGTTAGTATAGTGTTTTTTTAATTCTTTGTAGAACTTCATGAGAATTAGATAGGGTTAGAAATCTATCATGATTAGGAGTTTGAGTGTCATCATGAATAGGAGTTTGAATCTTATTCTAATTAGGAAGTTAGGCTAGAGATAGGGTTTTGGTTTCCTTATATATGTCCTTCTATTGTTAGAGGAAAAACTAAGAAGAAGAAGAAGAAGAAGTGTAGAGAGAAAGAGAGAGAGAGGGTTTGGTAGTCTTTGTCCGTACAAAAGATTGTAATTTAAAGGTGATAGTGGATTAATTTTGATCCCGTGGTTTTTACCTGTTGAGGGTTTTTCACGTTAAATCTTGTGTGATTTTATTTGTTACGTTTGGTGGTTTTTCGGGGTTTTTACGAGATCTAAAAATTTCCTACATATTTTTCAAATATTTAAGTAATGGGTGTCAATTTTCGAGTCCAAAAAACCGATTGGTTTTGAACCTAATATTACCAAAGAAACTAGTTTAGGGTATAAGTAATGGGGAGATCGGATTTTGCTTTGAACCACACGTGCCCATGATGTGTCCGCGAAGAATCCATGTCGGACATGGACATGGCACCCAAAACGCCATGTCCTTGTAACCTAGATCCTGACTAAAAGTAGGCATTTGGTACGTTCACAGAGTTCTGGACTGGTCCCTTCCAAAATAACCAACAGATAAAACGTATTTTGATTTACTTTTAACCAAATTTTAAATTCATGATTGCAATAGAGAGAACCAGCAAGTCTTGTTTGAATGAATATTTTGTAAGTGAGCTTACAATTTTTAGGCGGAGTCTTAATTTTTCTCTACATTTGTGCACTTGTTTTCATTTATTATTTACTTATATATGCTTTTCTGTTTTTGTAAATTTTGTTTGTGGGGAGGATTATGGTGACAGGATTGATAATTTTGCTTGCTTCATGATTTGGTGTCTAGAAAATGAAAAGGAGCTGTAAGTCAAGTGCATCACCAATTTTTCCAATTGAAACAAGTTTATTTATGGAGCCAAACCTGCAGGATATTGATCACAACACTAATAAAGAAGGCTACATTGGTTTATTGTATCTTCTCAATTAATTACCAGGTCAAGTTACTGATTTTAAAACATGGGAAAGGGGTCATGCGTGCTGTGAAAACTCAAAGCTCACTGTATCAAAGATAACTTATACCTATATACAGTTAATGGTTTTGAATGCCTCTCTCTGATGTATATTTTCTCTCTAATTTATCTCTGTTTCTGTGTCATGTACAGCTGTCCATAGAAAATTGAAGGAGCAGATAAAGGATGCTGAATCTCTGAAGTTTGAAGAAGTTACTATTTTCTGGATTGGGATGGCGGAGGTAAGTTTGCCATGTCATCCTTATTGGCTTCAATTATGTTTCTGTTTTTCAACTTTTTTCTCATTCTTTTTTTTTTCTCATCCTTACTGTTGAAAATATACCAATTGATGTGCCTCTCTCCAATCTTTACTATGATATTCATCATAAGCATCCCTTCTTTTATTTTGGCTAATTTATGTTTTTCTTATTTTGTTTCCAATTCTTCACTTTTCTATTTTTTCCCTAAATAAAAAAATCCTTATAACTTTTTCATCTAAAGTGTCAATTAAGTCCAGGAAGGCAAAGCCTGTTTCTCTCTGCTCTGTATTTCCACAACCTTTATTGTTCCTATGGTTTTAACTTTTAAGTGACAATGAACGCACAAATTTGTGATCACTCCAAGAAATTGAACAGAAAACTGACCCAGAGTGTCTATTAACCCTCTGATCATTCCCATTTCTGGTTGAGTGCTAAGTTTAGTGGGAAAGCTTTTCATCCTAAGAAATTCCAGAATCAGATATTCTAGTTTCTCCTCAGGTTCCATAACTTATGGTAGTTATGAAACACACTGGAGGGCATTATTTTCTGTTAACCTTTCGTAATTTCCAGTCTTGAAACCGGATCAGAAGCCGCTGTATCGAGTGTTTATTATCTATATTCTGATTTTGCCTAATAGCTTCAATGCAAGTTCTATTAAATCAGAAAAAAGCCATATCCCATCACATGTTCTCATTTTCTTCAGCTTTTCCTTTATTGCTGCAGTTTGAAACTACGTTGTTGTTTCAAATCTAATGCAATTGAAAGCATAATTACTTGACTTATGAGTGAGAAAGGGCTTTTTATTAAATATCGTATGCTCAAAGCATGCATGCACACCTAGAGACATGCACACGCACACACACTCATATATACACACATACACAGACACACACTCACACAGGCACACGGACACACACACATGCAGACACGCATACACATGCATGCATGCAGGCGTACATATGTGCATGTGTTTGTGTATTTATGTGTGTATGTATGTATCTATAAGTGTGTGTATTAGTATGTGTGTGTGTGAATGTATCTATATGTGTGTGTATCTGTATGTATGCGTGTGTGTGTGTGTGTATCTGTCTCTGTATATGTGGGCGTGCGCGTGCAGATTCTGGTACACTTTGACACGGAGATTTTCTGAAAGAATTTACACATAGTTCGTGTCTCCATTGAACTCGTGTCGAGTGATAGTAATTTGCTTCCTTATGTTTTTTCCCCCTTGTTAAAATCTTTCTTCTGTTGTTATGTTTGTTTATTTTTCAGAGCGTGCAAGTGATGGGATCCTTTGACGGATGGAGTCAAGGAGAGGAGATGTCACCAGAGTATTCTGGATATTATGCCAAATTTTCCACTACTCTCAAACTTAGGCCTGGAAGGTATGCATCATTCTGCTCCTGGTCCGTGAGCTTTCTCTAGTTGCTGGATTTGTGAGTTTAACTTGGCAAAGTACTTATTTTCTTTGAATGAAGATATGAGATCAAGTTCGTGGTAGATGGAGAATGGAAGCTATCTCCAGAGTTCCCTATTGTAGGTGAGGGTATGACGGAGAACAATTTGTTAATTGTAAAATAAGCCCAAGGCTTAAAACATACATATTTACTGTACATGATGAAGAAAT